CACTGCCATGGTTCATCACGGACAGGACCCCCTTCTCACATCCTTCCTAGGTCAGTCTTATTTGTTACGTTTTATAATACCGAAGAAAAACATATTGTTTTTGCTCTGTTTCTTCCTCTTCTTCTTCTTCTTCTCCAAACAGTGACCTCTGACCTGACCAATCACATGATTTGTTGACGTCTGTCACCATGGTGACTGGTGTTGGGTTACATAATGTTGCAATTTCATGGTCTGCTCTGCTCCTGTCACCATATACTAGTAGTACATGTACAAAATGTATGTGAATGTGTTGGAGCAAGAATTAACAGAGCAGACCATGTTCGAAAGTAAACATTATGCATTTGCTTTGCAAACGTTACTTCTCTAGTTTGTTTGTTTGTTTGTTTTGCATAACTGTTAGACCACCTTTATAACAGTTTATCCATTAAAAACCAGCCTCACAGCCAGTAAAAAACATGCTGAATAACACAGATTTGTACAGTTGATTGTCTGGCAAATAAAAATTAACATTACAATACATATACAAACACACAAACAAAAATATTACAAAAAGCCTCACACTGGGCACTAAACTGAGCGTCCTAAGAGTCTTACTGAGAAGACTTGTTGTACAGGCATATTGGCCTGTGTAAGAAAGATTTTTTCAGTCTTTTCGTACGGGGCTGCTGGTACCGTAAGTGCTGTTCCAAAACCCGTAATGTATTGTGCATACCACTTTGGCAGAACGCCTCATATAAGGTTGTACTCGCATATATAAGGTTAACATCCCATCTGTAGTTTCCAAATGTTATGTCGGAAAAGATATCATCTGCAACAGGCAAAATTCTGATGCAACGTTGACCAAACATTCAACCAAAAACGTGAAAAATCAGGGTTTTGCGCAGGCGCAGTACGTTCTGCCGACGTGCTGAAGTAATGAAGCCTGGTATAAAAGGAGGTTGACAGTATGAGGAATCCACGCTGACAATCCTGCTGACAGAGGAAGGATCACAAGCCAGAGGGTTGCTTCAAGTCAGGCTTTCGGAACTCTCTCTTACCCAAATACGGATGAGTTTGTTCCAGACCTTTGTCACCTCTCCAACATGCCTGATGTACTTGAAAAGGTGTAGGTGGGGAAACAGACAGGGTAACTGATGGTGCACCTTATTTCTGCATCTGTTATGCCCAAATTCTTTGTTGCCGAGATATGCCGAACATAACAGCAACTGGCATTGAAGAACAGAAGAAAAAAGTCACACCTCCAGAGGATTTGGAAATTCAGAACCATGCATATATATTTCAATGCAGTTTGAATGTCAGAGAATTAGTGGTATGGAGTTTAATGTGTCTCATAGGGTAATGGTGTTATGTAACAGTGATGTAACTAGGAAGTGTTACCATCAATTCAGCACCAAGGACAGTGTTAGTCAGCATCACATACTGTAATTCACTTGATGTTTACGGAAGCAAATGTTTGCGGTCTGAGAAAAATGGACATGTTTGCCGAACTATATGTTCACATTGGCGGCAGGCACAGAAAAAAGATTGTTGAATCATTTGTTCACAGTAATGATAAGTTTGAGGTGCAGAAGTGACCACGAAAACTGCGAACATACAGTACTGCAAAAAAATCATAAATTACAGTATGAACTGTAAATGCCATGGGATAACTGAACATTTACAGTAAAGGATTCTAAAATAAAATGTATTTCAGTAATAACTCCCGAATCATAAATATCTTCCAGGTTACATTTTGCATCAATTTTCAAGCCCTGCATGCAGTAATTCCATCCCAGACTGAATTTTAGTATTCATGACATACAGGATGAAAATTACAGGCTATTAACCAACATTTCTACAGGGTTGCTGAGATTCAATGAAGCAAAATCAGACATGCAAAAAACTCAATTAGTCGTAGCAGCGGCAGGGTGCCAGTGTTTTCATTAGATTAGAAAGTGCATGAACTCAACATGTTATTACTTGACAAGATCTAAGCAGATATAGTTTTCAATCATTAGAAGGGAATATTTCTATATTAAACTATGATGGTCTACTTTCTAGATTTTATTTTGCCAGCTTGTGAACTTTCCCTACAATAATCAGAAGTTTCACATTTTTCCCCATTTAGGCCACACCAATTTAATTTGTTGGTTCTCGGATTTTTTCAGAAAAAATATGAAGCGACAGGGCGAAAAAAAATAAAAATAAAAACAGGTCTAGGCATCCTATTATAGGCTTAAATGCTACAAAATGAGCCATGAAGTCAACACAAAAGGCTGGGTTGAAATTTAAACATTGAATTTTGAACTTTTAATCAAACCACTGCAATGATAGATGGGAAAACTGTAACAACTAGGAGGAAAAGGACTTTCCTCAACTGTTGGGGGGCAAAACATGAGCATTTTTCAGTTGATTCAGGACCAGAATCAAATTTTTTTTTTGCAAATCAGAAAAGAATGAAGAGGCGAATCCGAGAACCAACAAATTAAATTGGTGTGGCCTTATTATAATCTGAATATTTCTATAGTGGAGTCTTCAAATCATTTTCTAGCAAAGTATTAGCAAATCTCTCGTATTGTGAGATACTACATTTACAGTAAAGGATCATGTGAGAGGTGCATGTTTTTTCCGGGGTAAGAAAATACAGAAAAATTTGTGATAAGCCTGTCTGTGTATCTTTCGTTAACTACAATCCTTGCCTTCAAAGCCATGCCTTCAAGTATCAGAGTTATCAACCAAGGATTGAGGTGTTCAAGAATTCATTCTTTCCTAGAACTATCGCAGAATGGAACTCGCTGTTACCAAGTACAGTAGGGGCATTGTCATTAGATAGCTTTAAGCAACGTCTAGAGTTAGATGTTCAAGGGTTAGGTGTAACAAGTCAATAATTATTGGTGTAATGTAGCCAGCTGCCACCGTGCCGCATGCCTGCGAAGCTGGTGTGTTACGCCGAAGGGCGGTTATACCGGCTATACAGATACAGAAGCTGGTGTGTTACGCCGAAGGGCGGTTATACCGGCTATACAGATACAGAAGCTGGTGTGTTACGCCGAAGGGCGGTTATACCGGCTATACAGATACAGAAGCTGGTGTGTTACGCCGAAGGTACAGATACAATCTATGTGTAAAGTAATCAAAAGTTAGATGACTTTTAGAGCCTCCTGGTGGCTCACTCCAGATACAATGCCACAAATAGTCAGAGGGCAAGTGTGCTGGATTCTAAAGTTCACCTGTTGATGGACATTAATGGATACTGACTTTTGTATGCTCAGGTTGAGAACAGAAGCGGGAAACTTTTGACCTTTCCTGTGAAGTTCAAGGCTAGATGGTTCATGTTAAATCAGATAAATCTAGTATACACTTTAGGCCATACCAAGTTAAGTTGTTGGTTCTCGGATTTTTTCACAAAAAATGTGAAGTGACAGGGCGAAAAAAAATTTAAAAAATAAAAACAGGTCTAGGCATCCTATTGCAGCCCCAAATGAAGTCAACACAAAAGGCTGGGTTAATACTTAAACAATTTTTGAACTTTTAATCAAACCACTGGAAAAACTAGGAAGAAAAGGACTTTGCTCAACTGTTGGCATCAAAATGTGAACATATTTGAGTTGATTCAGATCCAGAATCTCTTTTTTTTTTGCAAATCAGAAAATGATGAAGAGGCAAATGCAAGAACCAACAAATTAAATTTGTGTGGTCCTAAATCTAGTATGCACTTTACTGCTGTATGAAAAACATTTCAGTTGATGCTTGCCTTTTTATGTACATAATATTGTATGTCAATTATTCATGACTAAACACTCTGCTGACATTTGAAAGAAGTTGAGGGTGAGAAATTGCAAATGAAACCCAAGAAAACAAGGCTTTAATATGGGGATTTGATACCTAGGACCTTTTGGTATAAGGTCACAAGGCTTTGTGCAGTGGTGTTGAATAGAAGCCATGATGAAGTAGAGTTGTATGTAATGCTGAGTCAGCACTTAAGATCAACAGGTTGTCTTACATCCTTTAAGAGGTAACTAAAGATCAAGCAGGCTGTTGAGGAGTCTAAGGAGTAAGTACATGTGTACATGACTATTGTATGTTGTGACATCGTTTCCATGGCAGGGCTCAAAATACTGGGTGCACGTGCACTTTAGTACACCCAAATTTGGAGCTGTTCACCCAATTTTTTTTCTGTTGGTGCACCGGTGCAACCAAATATTTTTGTAGCTTTATGTATGCAAAGATGTTAAATAGTATAGTTGTATACAGCATATTCTTAACATCTAAGTGTCAGAAAAATAATAAAATCATTATTGTAGTACTTTTCTTTACAATACATAATTATTTTTTTCTGAGTTGTGTGCTCCAGTGAAGCTATTCCCAAAATGAATTTTGAGACCTTCATGGTGATTTTACTGTTTCTGTCCACAGATTTTGCCGAGATTGGCTTCCTCTGCCTCTTCATACTGGAAATGCTTGTGAAGATGTACGGGCTGGGCCCCAAACAGTACTTCCGATCAGCGTTCAACCGCTTTGACTGTGCTGTGAGTATCAACACCATCTGCTGAACTAAGATTGTGCATGGAAACCTTTTGTCTTTAATGTGTTGCTTGTAATGTCTCTAGAGCCTTAAGTTCCAAGAATCATGATCAGTATTGTGTTGTTGTGTTGTTCTTCCATCATTCTCCACAATGACCAATGACATCAGTATTTGTTAACAGTGGAAAAGAGACTTGTTGCAGGACATGTAGGTATTGTCATGAAAGTTCATCAGTGTTGGTAGTTACATGTTTGGAGCTAAAACTTGTTCACACCTAGAGCTTTCAACCAGTCACTCTTTTCTACTTCAGTAGTCTGGTCTTTGTCAGTAGACTAAGAAAAAACAGAGTGGGACTGTAATGAAATACTCTAGATGAGAAAAATTATCTTGTGTTGTAACAAAAGTTTATCTCTTAACATGTGTTTTCTCCAGGTCATCATTGGGAGCATATTTGAAGTGGTGTGGACGACCCTGAAACCAGGACAATCCTTCGGCATCTCAGTACTACGAGCCCTCCGCCTCCTCAGGATATTCAAAGTAACAAAGTAAGTACATGTATATAGTAGAGGGGATTCATTCCTCAAGCTACCGACATCTTGCACACGCAGTCGTCCCTCAGTGAGACACCAGGAGCCGCATAGTTCCTGTTTAGAACTTTTATTCAGCCTGTCACACAGCCCATAACAAAGTAAGGAAACAAGTCAAAGGATAAAGGGGCTTTCTTTTACACAACTAATATTGTCTCTATCAGACACCTTCCTCTGAGAGCTTCTGACTGGAGTTCTGCTTCTTGCCGCTATATGTAGGCGATGCAGGTGGCACTTTTGTGTAAAAGAAAACCCCAATATCCTATACTCTACCAAGCTGATGAAACTTTTTAAAGAAGAAGTCAAAGATCTCATACCTCTATGGAATATTTACAGACTTTATAAGTTTCTTGTTTTTAGTCATCGTGGTGAATTTCTCATAGATTCATTCTCCCACTTGATCCCATTAAGTGTCTTCCAAGTTGTTACGGTAACTTTCCAAACAATGGTTTGATTAAATGTTCAAAATTTATTGTTTGACTTATAAACTAGTCTGGTATGTCCATGGCTCCTATGGTAACATTTAGGACTATCATAGGATGCTTAGGCCTTTTTTTTGCATTGCCCCGTCGCTTCATATCTTTTCTGAGAAAATCAAATTGGTGTGGTCTTATTCCACGTTGTGTGTTTGTGTTCCAGGTACTGGGGAGCGCTGAGTAACCTCGTGATTTCCCTGCTCAACTCGATGCGCTCCATCATCAGCCTGTTGTTCCTTCTCTTCCTCTTCCTGCTCATCTTCGCCCTGCTGGGGATGCAGCTGTTTGGAGGAGAGTAAGTAGCCAATCAGCTTCTGGTGTGCAATGAGCCAATCGGTGTCTAGCAATCAGTGAGCCAATCAGCTTGCAGTCAAGGAGACAATCACCTTCTAGCAAGCAATGAGCCAGTCAGTTTCTAGCAAGCAATGAGCCAATCGGCTTCTAGCAATCAGAGATCCAATCAGTGTCTAGCAATGTGTGAGCCAATCAGCTTCTAGCAAGTGATGAGCCCATCAGCTTCTAGCAAGTAATGAGCCAATCAGTATCTAGCAATCAGTGAGCCAATCGGCTTCTAGCAGCGAATGAGCCAATCAGCTTCCGGCATGTAATGAGCCAATCAGCTTCTACTGAGAAGCAATGACTAAGCCAATCAGCTTCTAGGAGTGAGCCAATCAGCTTCTTCTTAGAAGCAATCAGTGTGCCAATCAGCTTCTAGCAGCAAATGAGCCAATCAGCTTCTGGCATGTAATGAGCCAATCAGCTTCTAGTAGTTGCTAAACTTTCCTGTCTTTTCCAGGTTCAACTTTGACGATGGACGGCCCGCAAGCAACTTTGATACCTTCCCAATAGCATTGCTGACAGTATTCCAGGTATGGTACTCATCATCATCATCATGTGCTGGTGTGATTTTTCTCTATATAGTGACTAAAACACTACAACATTACTAGAAAAAGAGACAAACTTCTTAATGTTCATGTGCATGTGGTCTGCAATAAATATGTGTAATATACTATGAGGTGTTGAGGATATACATGTAGGGATTTTCTTCCTACACAACAATGTTTCTCACCTGCTTATGTTTTGATGCCAGTCAGATGTCTTCCTCAGAGCTTCTGACTGGAGTACATACTGCTTCTTGCTGCAATATGTGGACAAAATAGGCAGGGCTTCTGCAGCAAGAACACATCCCAAATTTAAACATGGCTAAGTGTGTATCCCCCCATCATCCTGGATCATTACTGGGGTTGACTTCCTTATTCAAACAGCTTCCTTGATCCAGCAGAAATTATTGTTGGGTGTAACATGTTGAGTTGACCACAAACTAACAACAACTAACTTTGTTGTTAGATCTTGACCGGAGAGGATTGGAACGAGGTAATGTACGCTGCCATCAAGGCTAAGGGAGGAGTCAAAGGGCAGGGAATGATCTACAGCTCCTACTTCATCATACTCGTCATGTTCGGCAACTGTATCCTTTTTACATTCGCCAAGAAGGTTATGTTTTCCATAGCGTTTGTGTGTGTGTGTTATGTATGTATGTATGTAAGTGTGTATGTGTTTTAGCATGATAACTCAAGAAGCGTTGGAAGGATTGTCATGCGGCACACACACATACGCACATACACACATACATACATACATACATATTGTTTGGCATCTGTATCCTTCACACCATGCACGTGTTTCAGCTTGACAATTTGTCAGCCTGATTTTTGTTCAGGAGAGCCAAAGAAGCAAATCAGAATAGGGATAATATTTTAAAAGAGCACAGCTATATTTGACTTTACACAGACAATTGACTTACCACCATATCCAAAACACATTTGAATCTTGTATCTTCTTTGAAAAAATTGATTATGGCATGCAGTAAGCTATAACAAAATGATGTTATTAGTACACTGGGAAAATCTTACACAGGTATTGTGAGACGTTCCATGGAAATGTGCACCTTTCTCCAAACAAAATCCTGATGGTGGATGCACTTTGATATTTAATTCTTCATTATTACTTCATACCATGCCGACCTTTGGGAACTCCGAGTGAAAATGTCATTAGTTTATTGGTCGTCACTGCAGTGAAAAAGATAATTGAAAGGATGACATTTACTTTTGAGTGCTCCTCGTTTTCCTCCACATCTTTCCCTAAACTAAAGGTGTGTTCCCTGCAAGGGTTTATTAAATAACTGTAATATGGTAAAATTAACTGCGGTGAAGGTAGGTTAATGTAAAATTAACAGGCCATATGGTTGCAAGCAGATAAAGTGGAAGAGAACAGAAACGGAGAAAGGAAAACAGTCAAATGTAAAATCGTATCAATCATTTAACGACACCTCTCATTCCCATTGGGACCCTAAGACTACCATTAAAAAGACTCTGTTCTCAAGGTGTACTTAAAAAGGTCTTAAACAACAGGATATCTGAAGCATGCATACTGATCCTGCATTTGTACATCTCTTGCACATGTTACTATTCAAACAATATATGGGTGTCTTCTGAGGCTGTCTCAAAAACTCACCCACCGCAGGGTAAAATTTGCAGGACATTGTTATCGAGCTAATCAGGAAATTGTTTCTTCTGTCCTTCTCTGGAAGCTAAGAGGTCGAGTACACTGCAGAAGTCTGACTTTTACCGATACCTTAACTAGAGACCCTGGCATAGAACTTGAATACTTAGGAAATGTAATGTTAGATAGAGAGAACTGGAGAGTTGTATGTGATGGCATAGAGCCCGGCTGATAGGCCGCTAATGTATGTATGTATGTATATCTCTTTGAAATTAATTTTCTTTAACGTGGCCATGGTATTAGTGTACGTGGAAGAATTATGAAAGTTGATGTAACATCTGTGTCCATAATATCACCATAGTCCATAATATCGCCACCTTGAGAAAAAGTGTGCTTAAAGATATTTTACTGCAACATACCCTAGGTATGTACATTTGAGGTGTGCAGGAGTACGTACCAAAAGTATGTTACAGTAAAAATATCTTAAAGCACACTATTTCTCAAGGTGGTGATATTATGGACCCTGGTGATATTATGGACACGGATGTTAACATCTATGTAGGACATAAGAATTCCTTGACCAAATTGAACAGACACACTCAATGCCTACTTAAAAAGATCTTAAAACAACAGGATATCTGAAGCATGCATACTGGTCCTGCATTAGTATATCTCTTTGAAATTCATGTTCTTCAACTTGGCTGTGGTATTAGTGTACCTGGAAGAATTATAAAAGTTGTTGTTACATCTATGTAGGACATAAGAATTCCTTGACCAACCTGAACAGACACACTGCTGAATGTGTTCTTGGCCATCGCTGTGGACAACTTGGCAAATGCCGAAGAAATCACAAAAGGTTAGTAAAAACCCTGTGTTCAGCACCAAGGACAGATACAGCAATGTCAGTTATAACATTGTTCAGCACTAAGGACAGAGACAGCAACGCTAGTTAGTGATGGCATTGTCAACACTAAGAGCAGGTGAAGCTGTGTTAGGGATGATATTGTCAGGATCAAGGACAGGAACAGCAGTGATAAAGATAACATTGTTCGCCAACAAGGACAGGGACAGCAATGTTAGTTTCAGCACCAAGGATAGGGATAGTAGTGTCAACTATACAATTGTTCAGCGCTACGTGAAGGTACAGTAGTGTGAGTGAGGGCATGGCCAGCACTAAGGGAAAGAACAGCAGTGTTTATTATGATGTTCAGAACCAAGAACAGCATTGTTAGTACAGGCATGTTCAGCACCAAGGACAGGGACAGTTGTGTCACTTAGAAAAATGACATTGTTGGAACCAAGGACAGGGACAGCAATGTTAGTGAGGACATTGTCAGAGTCAAGGACAGGGGCAACAGTGTTACTTTCAGTGCAAAGGACAGGTACAGTAGTGACAATTGTCAGATAACAATGTGTAGGTAAAGCAGTGCTAGTGAGGGTGCATTCAGGGACAGCAATGTTAGTCTCAGCACCAAGGACAGGGACAGTGCTAGTAAGACAATTTCCGGCCCTAAGAGCAGGTACAGCAGTATAGCCAGCACCAAAAATACAAGCAAATAATAACCAACATTTCCTCCAACTTCAGGTGACGTAGAAGAAGACGAGGAGAAAGCTAAAGCTCGCGAACAGAAGATTAAGGAGGAACTGAAAGACTTCAGCCCAACCTCTGGCCCTCCACACGGCCCTACCACCATCATAGCTCTGTAAGTCATTCTTAAACTTTTCTTTCAAAACTTAATGTTACTGTACTGTATGTAAAAAAAGTAGCCTGGGCCTTGCAAGGACTGTTTTGAAACTGCCATGAAGACACATTTAAAACTGTTTATCTCTGTACGTAAAAGTTAATAGCCAGGGCCTTAATTGCAAGGGCATTTAGCTTGAACAGACTGTTTTGAGGTTATTAATTTGAAACTGCCATGAGAAGGGCCAAGAGAGGAGCCATGAAAACACATCAAAAAGGGTGTCAGATAAAAATGGGTATCTGTATCTGGGCAGCTGGCACACCTTTTCTTTTTGTACTTTGTTCAGTAGTCGTTGCCACACGTTGTACCTTGTACAATTTTTGTGCAATAAAGTACTTATCTGCCCTTCAGTGTAACGCAACAACTGGTTACAGTTGCATTGACCTTGATCTTTGAAACACCCCACTAAAAACAACAACAAGCAGAATGTAAATCCTTCATTGAACTACCACAAAAAGAAGTACCAGTAATATGCTGTCATTGTCAATGAAAGAAGTAATATTCTTTAACACATAACATAAATGTTTAATGAAAAACTGTTTTAATGTTTCACTTTAGTATTTGTTTTAGGTGTCTCTCTCTCTATCCGGTTTATCGTCTGTTGTTCCCTATAACCGAGGGTTAGACATGCTTTGCACACTGATGCTGGGGCTTGATGGTAGCTCGCCATTTGCCTCTGTCCTGTGGTTCTTGGGTACAGCAAATTTCAAATTTCAATGTCATCCAAAGAATTAATCTAATGCACCATATTTCAAACAGCATATGACAGACAGCTTCGAAGGTTGTCTGCTGCAGTGACCTATGAAATCCCCAGGATGCTGCCACAGTGCTGTGCCCCAGAAATCTTTGATTCCTGACGTTTCCGGAGGGGACTTTTGCAAATGATTGTTTTAGGCAGTGAACTTTATGGGTAATCTGTTACAAACATGATTGATGGCAGTTCAGGAAACTGTATAAAGATGTTTATACAGTTGGTTTGTGTACAAGGGCAGGGGGCGTCACTACCTGAAACCTGTATATGACTGTCTCTTGTCACGTGATTATCACATCAAGTCACGTGACAAGAGAACTCCAAGACGAGATCTTAATCGCTCCAAGACGAGATCTTAATCGGGTTGAAGAAGGGACAAAGTACGTCTTGAAGGCTCCCCAGTTTAGCTGAACTTTTGTTGTATGTTTTATGTATAAATATTTTGGCAAAAGTATATTATAAAGATGTTAGCTAAAAAGTCCTTGCAAAACTCAGGCTACTTTTACCCCGTGTTATTGTCATTGTCTTTGAGAAGGTATCACAATCATGATTTTTGCAAACAGTCTTGAGAGCAAAGTCAAAGCAATCCCTTAATCTGTTTCCTAAAGTAAAAGAAAATGAATGCAGTCTTTTTTCCGAGAAACTCTTGTACAAATTGTTTTCCAAGAAATTCTTGTACAAATTTTTTTCCAAGAAATTCTTGCACAAAATTTTTTCCAAGAATTTCTTCTACAAAATTTTTTCTAGACTGTCACAGAAACGATTGATGGTGATACCTTCTCGAATGTTTGTACACGTAACAGAGTGGATCCAATACTCCTACCTTTATTTTATATGTTTAAAACGATTCTGGCAAACGTTTTTTCTCATCCATGGCAACAAAACTAACACAGCTGCATCTTTTGGCTACTCAAATTCCTCACTCCTTCTTTTTGGCTTCTAACCATCTGCTTGTTTGTGGACTTAAGCGGGCTGTATTGTCTCCTCATAGTTTTATACCTAGTCTTATCGTTCTTTGAGAGCCTAAAAGTGTGCATATTATATATTAACTAATGCCATGCTTTGTGGGACCCCCGGTTATATGTTGAGATTGGTGTCTTAACATTTGTCAATCCATGTTTGCATGTGATCATTGTCAACGGTCCATACATTCAGTCAAGTGTTTCATCTACATTGTCCATTTCTCACAACCACATTCCTTAATGTCTTCTGTTGTTCCCCCTTCATACGATGCATGCTTAACATGTACATGGTAGACTTTGCATCCAAGTCATATACAATGTATATAAATAACACTAAACAGCTTTTTGGTTAATTCAGATGTTGGAAATGGGGATTCAATCTTTTTTAAACTGTATCTGGACGTTGTTAAAATCCCATTTTCAAAATCTCACAGATACACAGATGTCAGATTTTACAACTGTTTACATTATATTTCACAACTTCTAAACATTTGGATTAGCAGTTTGATTTTTGCCAACTAAGCTTTAAAAGCTAAAGGGTAGTTTTCTGAATCAAAAAGTCTCCTGTCTGCATTCTCATGCTACATGTATACTGTATGTTTTTTTTTATTTTTGATGTGTGTCCCCACCCTTTCTGTAATGTCAATGTGTGCTACTTATAAATATTTTTGAGTAGCAAACTGTTCAGTAATATTTTGTGTAGCAAACTGTCCAGTTGTGTTACTTGTTTTGCCACATTGTAAACTGTTTTGTCACAAAGATCTGTCTGGGGTTTTGCAAAGCAGGCATGATTACTTTCTAGCCCACTCTCTTCTTTTTTTGCCAAAAGATGGTACCCAGCATACTGTGGTGTTACTAGTATCAAATATCATGATTATATCTGCTTCTCTGGTTGCTGGGAACTTGTTGCATTTCTAGGGATCTTTTAGTTTTTAGTTTCCTTTGTTGTAGATGGTTTTGATTGTTCTGTATTTGTCAATGAGAGCTTCTTTTGGCCAGGAAGTATTGAAGCCATTCTGTGTCATGTTTTGTCTTTGTGTTGTCCACTTTTGTCATGTTGCCTGTGCACGTTTGTGGCCCCTGTGCACCAATCATTCACCATACACACATGCAACTATAGCTCCACAGTTGTAAGCCACCATCCTATACATACATGGCATTGTACCTTTCTACAGAAATATATCTCCATCCCCTTTTTCACTTCTCATCTAAACTGAATCGCCTATAGGGCACACAATAGATAGATTTCATCCCTTATTTGATATCAACATGGACCAGACAATGCTCAACATGTCAACATGGTTTGACCAATAAAGTCTTCCAATTCAGCACATCAACTGCCTCTAGTACTGTCGACCGTGATACTTGACTCTTGCTTATTGCTTGTGAATGAAAGCAGTGAGAGAATATAGCCTGCTTAAGCTGCACTAAAGCAAGCACTCTCATTGCCTCTATACCTTTTATGCCTGAAAAGGGGTTTTTCTCTGCATTGAAAGCTTCATTTTGCAGTTTTATCTCTCTCTACGGAGCCTTGTTGTAAAGAAAGAGAAACTTAGACTACATCTCTGGGCTTGCTTTCAAGGTGAACAGTTTCTTGACTGAATGTTAAGCATATCAAAATTTGATCCAGGAGTATTGGACCTGTAAGCTCTACATGTTGAGTCTCAGCAATGCGCTCCTTTTTTTTAGTAGAATAATTTGATAACAGACTGGTGTTGAAATGCATGATGCTGGTTGACTTTTTTCTCATCTCTACTTCTTGAGGAAAATATTGCTTTTCTTAAACTGCTGTAAATTCTGGTTCCATTTTTTTGCTAAAGCCAGGATCTATAAAGTTTGCTGCATGGTTTGCAGTGTTTTTTCTCTTTCTCTTTTTCTGCCATGCATGTGATTCAAATCTTGGCATTTTTAACCCTTAATGTTTTTATATGAGTCTGGCTTTCTTATAGTAAATGCTAACTAACAGTGGTGATGAGCGGAAAAGATTCTAAAGAAGCTATCTGCATGGCTTGTGTGGTGGCACTAACTAACCCCTGTAACCAAATGACCAAATCTATGCAA